ACAGGGCATTTTGTCTGGCTTGTGGATCTTTTGTGAGTGCGGTGTCTTTCCTTTGTGGTTTTTTACTCATTTTGTTGAATGTCAATAAATGATGCACTTGTACCAGACGCCTCTCAGTTCAGTCTAATTGGTTGATCGCCGAAGGGGGTGTGACGCTTGGCTTGGACTTCAAAGGTTATTTCCCAGAACGGTCTCAATTTGCATAGATGGACTTGAAGTTCTTAGAATCGGCTGAGCACCATCAACATCTGCAATAGAATTTCGTCCAAAAAGCCAAACGTGACACTACCTCTACAAATGCGTGCGTCAAGTAGGTACTAGGGTTTCAGAATATGCGGACATTTCGAAGCGAAACTCCGACCTGTAGTAAATCATTGACGTTATGTTACTTAACCCGCGCCCGGCTGGGGGTCCTGGATTTCCACGCCCTGCTGGGGGGGGGGGTGTTTGAACACCCCCCTTCTAACTCGGCTCCTGGGCCACGTAGCGATACGGGAAGGCGGCGTTCGAAAGAGCGTCAAAAATAATGACGAAATCACTTCGGTCAATTTTTGGTCAGGTCAAAGGTCAGGTCACCAGAGGTCATTGAAGGCAAAATTTCGCCGATTTCCAGGTCGAATGTCGAAAATTTCCAAGAAGCCAACGCATAACTCGGGAACCAATAGAGCTACAGCGCCGCGGAAAAGCGCATTCGATAGCCCTATTAACGCCCTTTCTGAGTAATTCTCTCAGATTTGACCTAACGTCAACGGTTTTGCCTGCAGGGGGCAAAAACTGCAAAAATAGCCGATTTTTTCGGAAACAGTTTTTCTGCAATAACTTTTGACCCAAGCCTTGTACGAGCTTACTTTTACCGGCATCGTGTTCCTCTCGTCAAGACGCATCGAATGAACTATAACTTGACCTTGAAAGGTCAACTTGAAAATTTGACCTCAGGTCAAGGTCATGACCTGACCGGAAAGGGTCATGTTGCATATCAGTAGATACGTATCGTCGAGCTGAACACATCTAAGGTGTTTTCATCGCTCTAGCATGCCTCTATCAAAAGTTATTTGCGAAAAACTGTTAGATACCATTCGTGACCTAAGATGACCTCAGGGCATAAACAGGGGTCACGGACACCATTTTCATGTTCAGTGTGTCTAAACCACTTGTAATTCAGTGTTTGGGAGTGTTTATAATGTCTTTCGTCCAAAAGAGACGCATTTCAATTTTCTCCCATTGACTTATAATGGGGAGGTCGCAAAATTGACCTGACCTTAGGTCATCGATATCAAAATTCTGAGATATACATTTTGTACATGCTATTGCTCTTAGCAATCGCTGAAAGTTTCAAAGCGATCGGTCACTCGGTGTAGCTATGACAGACATTGAAACTTTTTATGAGGTGAGGTCACTTCAAGTGACCTGGTGACCTGACCTTGAATGACCTTGGTCTGAAATTTTCACAACATGTGTAGAATTGATGCATGATAAGGTGTACCAAAAACGGCGGCGCTCCGCGCCGCCTTTTTTGAGATATTCGCGAAAAACCACAAGGGGGGGGGGTGTTCAAACACCCCCCCCCCAGCAGGGCGCGGGTTAATACTTTGCCTGCCCAAAACATCTCAAGACAAATACATTTGCGGTCATATATTACTGCAAAAAAGCACATACAGGTAAAATACAATCTGCAGCCAACAATGCCGAGGAGACAACTGACACCATCGCACCAGGGACACCGGGGCGCGGCAGCTCGCAACATTGACAGCCGCACCGCAGTGCCCGGTCAGTGCAGTGATGACTGATGACTGATCCCCAGCCCAACCAGCTGTCCGCTCACAGTTTGTCCCAGCCCAGCCCGTCGTCCGCTCAGAGATCGTCGTCCGAGTCGCCTGCCGAGCCGCTGTCCTCCTGCGCGTCGCTGTCCTGGTCCCAGTCCTTGTGGCCGGCCTCGGGCAGGTAGTCGTCACGCAGCACACTCCACGTGGCCCGGTCACCCGACTCAGCCGACTGAGGACACACGGAGGGATGCAGTGAGTCACACAGGGCCTCAGCGGCCGCCGTTGACAGTATTGCAACCAAGAAATACTTGATCATGTAATTGTTCTGCCATGTCTTGTCATGATACTATGTCGTTTTAAGCGCATAGCTGATGTCCTTAAATAGTCCCACATAATATTATTGACAATACAGTTTGCATTAAGGTCGACAAAGTAAACAACAATGCAAACGGAAATCCTGTGAGTGTATCGAAGCCTCATGCAGCATAGCAGGCGCCACCAATTACTCCGAAGTGTGCCGTGTCGTGTCCCACCTGTTCTGCCGGCTCGGCATCGGCGCCATCCCGGAGCCGGTCCATGAACGTCTGCTTGCTGACCGCCTTCAGGGCCTTCTCAGTCTTCCTCAGGGAGCCGCCGGCCTCCTTCAGCTGGCTCTGCACCTCGGCCTGCTGCTTCCTGACGGCGTTAAACAGCTGCACCACGCCACTGGCGGATCGGAGAACGGTGATGTGTGTGAGTCATCAGCCACCCGTGGGCGGACCGTGGTGGGAAGAGCGTACCACCGGAGGGGTGTTCACGGGCACCGCACACTGCTGCGTGCGGTGTGTGCGGTGGCCCGCTGCGTCCAGCAGGCGTGGGGGTAGGGGATGGGTAGGCGGCTCTGACGTCACGGCTGCGTGCGGTGGACGGTCCGCTGTGGCCAGTCCCGACCGGCCACAGCGGTCGCTGTGTGCGGTGACGGAATGCTGACGTAGGGACGCAGTGGGCGGAGCTTGGAGGCTGTGTGCGGTACGACCGCACACAGGGCCCGTGAACAGCCCTCTGTTCATCCGGGCTAAATTGGGGGTAGCGTGGGTCGTGTAGAATAGGGCTGAGCGCAGGATTTCAAGGATGTCAAAGAATTAACACCACAAAAATAGTAAGAAAATTATTTCGAACAAATCAGCAAGCTCAGCTCACGTACAATTTTCTACTAATTCAATATTCAATACAAAATGAAATAACCCATTTTTTTGCATTAAAGGTAGTGTGCCACCTTTAAAAGATTTTCCATTTTATTTTTCCTAGGATAAGAAGCTTCTGTTTTTACCTAATATCGCAAAAAAATCAAAAATGGGCCTGGAATAGTGCCTTTTTCGCCTAAAAGTTTATCGGTTTTTCGATATGTATAACAACTGTAGTGGACTGAGCTGCAAACAGGCGTCGGCAACAATCGCGAATGCGGCGCACATGTGACAATAAGCAAAGGTCATTATAGAGTTACGACGTACGGGAATGAGTTATCAGCTGTCTAATCGTAGACAACACAATGTCGAGCCTTAAACTGTAAGCCTGTATTGGTATTGTTTCTTTTATTTGGCTGTCGAACATTATTTATGGTTTGAAATATGATTTTATGTAAAATAATTGATATGAAAAAGCCGTCTCTTAAGTTATGACCCCATTTCACCACACACAAGTGGCAGAAATGACAATGATCAGCTGACGCATTTTTCTTGGCCGAAGTCAGAGCGCGCGGCCCGACGCACCACCACCGCACCACAAAGTATGAGCAGAAGCCGCGCCCAAAGCCAGGGCCCCGGTAACGTGAGGTAGCCGAGTCGGGGCAGCGTGCGCTGACCCAAGCCGGGGCCGCAGCTTTGGGCGCGGTCTACCGCATCCCCGCGGGCAGCCCCGGGCTATCACATGACACCGGGAGGACGCGCGGCCCCGGCTTGGGTCAGCGCACGCTGCCCCGACTCGGCTACCTCACGTTACCGGGGCCCTGGCTTTGGGCGCGGTCTACCGCACCACCTAACAGGCGTGTTCGAAACCGCAGGAGATGATGATGAACGGGTTTATCGAAACTTGATTGGATGAGCATATCGGTAATAGCGATTTCAGTGTGTGCATTTATTGTTCATAGTGGTGTGAAATGTGGTTGGGGTACGACCGACAACCCGTCGGGGCGAATTTCGCACTGGGGTACTCAAAATTTGAAGAATTTAAGACGTTTCCATGAGTTTTGAAGGTAGGGGAAAGTGGGGTAAGACGGTCAGGGTAGGTAAGACGGGCACCCCTTCTGCAGACCAAACCAATAGCGCTACGAGCAAGAAAAGTTAGGACCAGAATTGCCTTTCCCACTACACACCACCATTCAAGTCTGGTGAATTTGTGTTCAGTCGATAATCTTTTATTTTGATTTCTTTAAAACACTCATTTCATTGAAAACATCCATAATGTATTGTGCAAGCTTTTGTGTACAGCACTATAGAGTTAAAAACTCGCAATCACTTGTGGTACACTCATATGCCAACAGTGTTCATTTACGGCGGATTTGCTTTGTCTGCATCAAATTGTCCACAGCGAAAAATCGTGCTGAACTTCTGACATTGAGTTTGGGGTAAGACGGGCAACTATGAACCCAATGGGTCTGTAATGGTGAAATATTTTTGTTGCTGTAGGAAAAAAGAAGCATTTCTAATAAGAATATGTTCGATTCCGATACTCACAGACATGTTAGCAATATTCCTTCGGCACAGTTTATTCTCGAATAATGAATGTGAAAAACGGTTCTACATGGCTTCTGAACTAGGGCCTATATAGGAGCATACGCCTTCTGCACGAATCTCGTATACTGCCATTTCCGAAGCACTTGAGACCAACGAGCGACTGTATAAATGCGGCTAATCTCGGGCATTTGTTGCGAGCTGCGCTGATCGGTGAAAGAAGCTGGCCGTCTTGCCCTACCCATGTGACCGTCTTACCCCATGGGGTGGGGTAAGACGGGTTTTTGCAAGGTTTTGCAAAAATAGCTGCAGTTTATTTGTTGAATCAGGTCTAAGTCTCATCTTCTGGCAAATGAAAGTAAAATGTCTGAAAAAGGTTTTCACCCAGTTTCCCGTTTCTATGATGTTTCTAACCGGCCGAAAAATGGCTCCAAAGTTAAGGTGCCCGTCTTACCCCACTTTCCCCTATGGATAAGTTCTAAAAATCCGGTTCTCCTTATCTGGGCCATTAACTCCATACGGTCCAGGAAAGCTGGCACACTACCTTTAACGATTTTTTTTTGTTTTCCACACGCCCAGATCTACGGTTTACAAATAAAATTTAATGACGTAATCATGCATGGACGTTACAATGCATATTACTGCTTTGCAGAGCGCAGTGCTATTGCTTACTTACCGTGTTGCTATTTTGCACAAGGTTCTTTCTCGATCTTTTTCTCGAATGTCTGGCTTCTTTCGTCCCATCATTTCCCATTCTCTGAGCTGAAAAATACGTGGTGTTACACGCAGCATATCAAAGATAATTCGATTCGATAAGCCAACAAACACTTAATAAAAGCTCTATGTCCTTGCATTTCAGATGCCATTCTCTACGTGTGAGGCTTGCGCGAATTAAAAAAAAAACTAGCTGAGCTTCCATTTTAATTTAAATCAATCGGCGATGAACGAATACTATTTTACTTACCTTTTTCCGCTTTTCAACCAATTCTTTACGTTTCGCCGCATGCGACCTGGCAGTCTTTCGCTTCTTCTTCTCAATCGGCGCTGCCTCCGCGCCTTCTACATCGAAGCCCGGATCGGAGGCTTCCTCTTCTGGTTCGTCCTCTGCATCATCCTTTGGTAACGCTTTTTTGGCCTTTGAGAGGATGACATACTTCTTTTTCGGCGCTGGTGCACTTAGGAGCCGGGACATGACGTCCGCCCAACCCTCATTGCCTTCTGCTGGTGCAGAGGTGGCGACGTCTTCAACTTCCTCCATGTCTGAAGATGCGTCTGTCAAACATAATAGGCATATTTCGTCGATTAATCTGAAAACGAACGCATCGATGATGTTTTCTAGTGCATATCGTATTCATATTGATAGTCAGAAATGACAAATGACAGGGCTATTAAAATGATTTCTTCGTGCTACATTGAATAACAGCTCATTCTTCGAAGATCACAAAGTTAACGAGCATAGCATCCAACATAGAGTCGTCACTGAAGTCGGTTCTCAAAGCCAAAGCTGGGGCCACGCCAGTCGCAAACAGCGCTGGCTGCTTCCAACATCGGACGCTCACGTCAACCGTCATTGCCCGTCCCGTGCTTCCTAGGGAGACCGAAGACACATGCACGAATTATGGACACGAAACGAAGCGAGTTTTTACAGCAGTATTTCAATTTATGACCATTACGACGATCGGGCGACGTCTCACTCATTCCATATTTTCAAATACGAATTTACCATACCTTTGCTGTGATAACTGATGAGCCCGAGTGATGCCTACCAGACCATTATAAAGATTACCAGGAGCCACCAGGGATGACATGCTCAGAGCTAGGGCAAGAATATTTATTTGGAGCCATTGAATTCAAACATTCTATGAACCTGCATACAGTCGTGAGTCACTGCCCACCTCTGTGATGATAACATGCCATGACCTTAAATAGATTGTTATTTGTTTGATGAAGGAGCAGTTGAATATGGTAAATCAGACCTATTTGGGCAGATCCATCCATAAATATGCATCCCAATAAGCTTATGAAATGACACTAACGCAACATCAGTAGCTATGAAACGTAAACCTACTCCCAGCAGACCCAAACCATAAGAAGCTGCTACAGGTTTAAGCACAGTGAATAATAAATACCACATTCCTGAAAAGCAAGTGTACTTCATCAAGTGTACTTCATCAAGTGTACTTCATCAAGTGTACTTCATCAAGTGTACTAAAAGCAAGTGCATCTTCATCTATCTAGAGTGGGTGATTCTTACTTGTTTTAACATACCTTCAGAATGTGCAGCACCAGAATCCATCGCCTGCTCATGCTCGCCTACCTCCACCACCATGACTTCGACTGGTATTGGTATCTTGATCTGGGGTTAATAATAATGCCTGTTGAACCCTGGAAGATGATCACAATTCTGAAGACAACACTTTATTTCAATATTAATATGCAATATCATTTTCAACAAAGTCTGGTGATTTAAAGCCTAGTTGTAGTGCAAGTCAAAGTCAGTTGGGCAAACTAGACCTTTGGAATCAAAATATGGAGGCATCAAAAGATTGATTCCTTTTGGGCATAAATGCAGACCATTTCTAACTTACCAATCACATAAAAATAAGAGAGTGTTTCAAGAAGGAGCATGCCTGATCTTGAACAGAAATGCTTGAACTATCTCCTAAGCAAAATAATATTGCTCCTATCATAACAATTTGAATTCTATAGGTAGTGAAAGGCAATCAAGGAATTGATTCACTTTAAACAGATAATCATAATATTGATTCCCCATCAGCTGGCTAATCATTATTTTGATTCACAGGTAATGTTAACAGATAGGCAACAATGACTTGCAAGAATACAGCATTTATCTTGCTATTATTCTCATTTAGTGGTATCCTCAGCACCACAACTAATACCTATAGCATTGTTGTAGGGGAGAGTGGGGTAAGATGCCCAGGGTGGGAAAGACGCCCTACCCCCTCTAGCGGCGAAACAAAGAATCGAACCTGGAAATAAATGTTCTTAGCGTAAAGCGGAAGCCTGCCTTGTTAACTGCACAAAAATTTGCGAGGCTCAGTTGGGCAACGGCTGGCTGGTGATTGCATGTTTTTTATTTGCTGCTTTCAAAAAAATATTTTGGTGTCAAAACATTGTAAATATCAAAGAAGGTAGATAATTTTTGCGTCCCGTGCCATAGTCGTGATAAATTAACATGCGTGTACTGTGTCCCAAACAGTTTGTTTCAGGGTGTAGTTTTATGGCTAACAAATTGTACTGATTTAATGTTACCTCGGTACCTTGGGGTAAGATGCCCCCTGTCCTGATGGGGAAAGACGCCCCCCTAAATCCGTAGGCTGTCCTTCAAGCAGCCTGTCAAATCATTTATTACATACCTGTGATGAGAGCACAGGGGAGCAATGCCGCTTCAACCCTATTGGCCGTAGTGTCTAACGGTGGCGGCCATATTGCGCAGACCAGAAACCGGCTGCCGCCTGTGTTGAGGAATAGGGAATTCGGGACCTCGATTTACGTTTGCGGACGCCGTATCCGTTACGTTCAAGTTACGTAGATACGGAACCCGGCGTCTTACGCAGAATTGAGTGGGGAACACGATCGTATCTTCAGAATTCCTCAAATTCACTCGCCTGACCTACATTTGCCCCGGCCGAGGGGGTTGATTGAACCCACCTCGCTAATGCACCGCTAATTAAACTAGAATTAAGCGGTAAAGTGGTCGTATGCGGCAAAGTATAATGCAGAGTGACTGGTAGAAACCCGCTGTAAGGGTCTCAGGTCAACCGGTGACCTCTGAGGTCAGGTCAAGTGATCTAAGGCACGGGTTCGGTTTTTGGTAAATAACTTCGCCAAAAATGGCCGTAGAGCCGCGATTTTGGCACCATCGTTTTCAGCTAGCTCAGGCGCATCGAGTGATATACTTTTTGTTCGGGTCAGGTCAACTTAGGGTGTTGACCTCAGGTCAAGGTCAGGTCAGCACCCCCAGGTCACGAAGTTGGTCGAAAGAGGTCATGTCGCATATCATTCGATTCGGCAGGTCTTCCTGAGTCCATTGGTGGCTTTCCTGACTCGCTAGCTCAATTTGATCGGGAGTTATTGAAGAAAAATGGTGACCCTTGTGACGTCACAGATGACGTCACGCAAGGGCAGCAATGCAAATATGAAGCATAGAACCTTGTAAAGAGTGCATGAAATCATGATTTTATATGTTTGAGATAGTTTCAGATCATTCTCGGCGCCAAAATAACAATTTTTATATTTCCCCATTGACTTATAAGGGTTTAACGTATTAGTTCCTTATAGCTGATGATTTTTTTAGGATTTCATCTTGTTCTCCACTCAATTCTGCGTAAGATGCCGGGTTCCGTGTCCACATAGCTTGAGCGTAACGGATGCAGCGACCGCAAACGTAAATCGAGGTCCCGAATTCCCTATTCCCCAGCACAGGCTGCGGCCGCTTTCTGGTCTGCGCAACATGGCGGCACCGTTGGACACCATTTGGCGGCCGATGCGCATTCCACATTATAGAGTTCAGTGGATGAGAGACAAAAGCCGATCTGGGACTATTGAGAGTCCAGTACGGTCGGGTGCTCCCCATGCCGGTCTCTCGGCCCATACAGCGACTTTTTGGGCGGCATCTGACTCTGAGAGCCCTTACGACGGCCTCTGTAGGCCACATTATTGGCTCCAGGGCCCCTCACGACATCCTTTGAGGGCTCCCACGTTGGCTCCACGGGCCGCGCTGGCATCTGAGGTCCCCACGATGGGCTCGAGGGCCCTCAAGCATCATGAAGACCTATAAGGGCCCCACAGTGGTCTCCGAACGCCACCACGGAGGCTTGCTTGGCCGCGCTGGACTATGATGGCCCTAACGATGACCTCTGAAGCCCCTTACGACTACTTTTGAGGGCCCTTACGATGACGTTTGGTGTCTACTGCAGGCCCGAAGGGACTACTGATTCGTTCAGGCGACTCACGTGCCCATTTATGTCACTTATAGTGCAGGGGGCATCTTACCCAACGCCAGGGGGCGTCTTTCCCACCCTGTGGGGTAAGATGCCCCCTTTCACTTCTTCAGGAAAATGCAAAAAACGTTATCATATTTCAAGCACGAAGGTGTGATATTTTTGGAGAAAAATGATGTCGGCTTCCGTTGAAACTACAAGTTTTTGCTTTCCAATCGTCATTTTCGAATAATATATGACATAGTAAAACCCTGGGCATCTTTCCCCACTCTCACCTACTTTACCTTCACTACATTTGATAACAATTCACAATTTTTAAATGTCAAGAATACAAAAACTGAAGCAACAGATAAAAACCATATAAATAATATAAAAGCACTACAGCAATGATAATTAGGGGTTTAAAAATTTCATTTTGCCATTTTACACAAATACTGATTGGTTTGTATGTGATTCATGATACAAAAATAACATACCAATACAGTGTGATTTCCTCAAAACAGCTAGCTTTTACGTGATGGACAGTGGCTCTGTCTTTTTCCCATTCACAAGGCCAAAGGGACAATGCTCGGGGTTACATGAGCAGAGTTAATACGCATTACAAACGGACTACAATGGTGAGCGAATAGGAAAATCCGTTCCTGATACGCATTTACTTGCTCATGTAACCCCGGTAAATTTCTTAGCTTTGAGCACTGAACTCTATTATCGGGGTTACATGAGCACAGTAAATACGTATTTAGCCGCTAATTCGAATTAGGAACGCATTACCGACTCATGTAGCCACCTGCTAGTACGAATCGGCGATCCGATCCGCGGTTACATGAGCAAAGCAAATACGTATCACGATCGGATTCACCGCTAATGCGAATCAGGAGCGTACTACCGACTCATGTATCCACCTGCTAATACGAATCGGCGGTCCGAACAAAATCCGCTGGGAAAGAGGCTTAGAAGCGAATAGGACCAAGATACGTATTACAGGAACTATTTCTTCGCAAAAAGAAACATTAAAATGCAAAATAATAGGTATTTTTTCATTTTCTTCTTTTGAAATAATATTTAAAAAAATATGTCGGTATGTTGTCAAGTTTTCAACAAAAAATTTAGAGAAAACCAAATAGTAAATATCCACATAATTTCAGTTGAAACATTTTTCTGACAGCACTACAGACGAATCAAGAGAGGCAATTGCCCAATGAGTCAAAGCAAGACAACTTTATGTTCAACCTTTTTTTGTTAAGTTAATTGAGAATGTTTTGAGCAGATTAAATGCAAAAAAGACATAAGATAATAAATTTTTAATTTAGTCACCTCTATTGCTACGGAAGTGCGCCACATTTGTATGCTATTCCGTTTGTAATGCGCATCGGGCCGAGAGCCAAACTAGATCCGTTTGACGTCACTGATACGAATTTGCTCATGTAGTCGGTGCTCTGAATGCGTTCTTGGGGAGCTGATGCGAATTAGCTTAGTGCGTATTTGGAACGGATCGCTCATGTAACCGAAACGTCCGAGGCACACGATTCGGGCCGTATTTCACAAGAACTATTCTTTGCTGACTGGAAGCGTCAAAATGCAAAATACTAATCATTTTTTTTTTATTGGCTGCCTCGTAGAAAATAGCAAAAAAAATGTTGGTATTTTGGTTTAGTCTTTGCATGTGAAATAAAATGAATGAAATATTTTGATAGATAATTTTTTCTGACCACCCTGCTGTCGCTGCATGGCGAATCAGTGCCCACTGACTTAAAACAAGAAAACTTTGTTTTCATTTTTTGATTTCATGTTAATTTTAAATGTTTTTGAGCCTATCAAATGATATAAGTATTTAAAATTTAGCTCAGTCGTCCCGGTAAATGCCGCAACTGCGCCATGACTGTACGCTAATCCTATTCCGTTTGTGATGCGAATTACCGGCCGTCGAGGAGTCAGCCCGGGTGAGCCAAACAAGATCCGTTTGACGTAGATAAAACGAATTAGTCTCATGTAACCGGTGCCGTAGATCCGTTTGTGGGGAGCTGATGCGCATTACCGTAGTGCGTATTTGGAACGGATCGCTCATGTAACCCCGGTATATAATGTGGAATGCGAATCGGCCGCCAGATGGTGTCCAACGGTGCCGCCATGTTGCGCAGACCAGGAAGCGGCCGCCGCCTGTGTTGGGGAATAGGGAATTCGGGACCTCGATTTACGTTTGCGGTCGCTGCATCCGTTACGTTCAAGCTATGTGGACACGGAACCCGGCATCTTACGCAGAATTGAGTGGAGAATAAGATCAAATCCTAAAAAATTCTCAGATACAAGAAACTAATACGTTAAGCCCTTTATAAGTCAATGGGGAAATATGAAAATTGCTATTTTGGCGCCGAGAATGATCTGAAACTATCTCAAGCATATAAAATCATGATTTCATGCACTCCTTGCAAGGTTCTATGCTTCATATTTGCATTGTTGCCCTTGCGTGACGTCATTTGTGACGTCACAAGGGTCACAGTTTTTCTTCAATAACTCCCGATCAAATTGAGCTAGCGAGTCGGGAAAGCCACCAATGGACTCAGGAAGACCTGCCGAATCGAATGATATGCGACATGACCTCTTTCGACCAATTTCGTGACCTGGGGGTGCTGACCTGACCTTGACCTGAGGTCAACAACCTAAGTTGACCTGACCCGAACAAAAAGTATATCACTCGATGCGCCTGAGCTAGCTGAACACGATGATGCCAAAATCGCGGCTCTACGGCCATTTTTGGCGAAGTTATTTACCAAAAACCGAACCCGTGCCTTAGATCACTTGACCTGACCTCAGAGGTCACCGGTTGACCCGGGACCTTTACAGTGGGTTCCTACCAGTCACTCTGCACTATCCTTTGTCGCAAACGACCAATTTACCGC